TTACCATGCTTTCTATCTTGGTTTATCTTGTTGGCTGGATAACTTTCGCTAATTAGCTCTGAACACCAGGTAAAGCTGAGGCTGATGGGAATGTCATTAGATTTTTGGGGTTGTGTTTTGTTATGCTTTTTTGTATTTAGTCACAAACCAAAATGCTGAACAAATGACATCTGAACAAAAACTATAGGCCTATCTATGATTATTGATTCCTGCAGATTTAAAGGTCCAGTGTGTTGGATTTAGTGGCATCCAATGATGAGGTTGCAGAACTGAAAATTTGAGCCCAGTCTTACGCCGAAGTCATCGAAATCCGGCGCTTTGGCAGTGACTTGCCAGTGAAAAAAGGCGTCCTTCAGTGTCGCCATGATACATGGCTGGTTGCCATTATAGCTGAATAGTGCCAGGCGACGTCAGGGGGAAACACAGCAGGGCAAGGACGAAAGTTACGGCGCTGAAAGTCTGAGTGGGGCTGGTAGATGGGTCCAGCAAACATCAACTTTCACCCAAGACAGCAGTGTTTGCGTCCCGTAAGATTCTAACGCCAAACCCTGTTCTTTTTTCCTAAACCTAACCACATTTCTTTGTTGCCTAAACCCCCAAAAAAACACAGAAAATTCCAATTCACAGTGTTGTACTGACATAGTGCATTTATTTTGAAAGAGACTGTATGTAAACGTTAAATTTCCTGTGAAAACAGAAGTGTATTTTTAAAGAAGACAATGTATGTAACAGGCAGAACTTGACATGGTGTCCCAGAATGTCAACAAGCAACGCACCCAGGGTACCTTGGACGTTGTATGTGGACATGGAAAGTCCATGACCAAACGTATGTGACGAGGTCTGAGTGACATTGTGTTGGAAAATTCTCCCATGTGCCAAGCATGTAGGAGAACTTCTGTGGTCGACATGAAAATGTGAACGGCCCTATCTAGAGCTTGTGTTTGGTTTGTCCCTTCTGAGCTACTGTAGAACAACATGGCCGTGGGAGAGGATCCGCTTCATATGTAGATATATACGGCATCACGTCACCAGTTTGCCGCGGCACATCATTTGAGAACCGCTGTGTTACAGCAATCCATCACTGGATTCAATCAAAAATCCAGGCACCAACTTCCCCACCATCAGCAGCAGTATTCTCATGACTCCATCCAGAACTAGTTACTGTATGATGGTCAAGATGGGGGATTATGCTTTTTAACAACCTTGGGTTCATCGCTTCAAACAGCCATTACCGCCGGATGAAGTCCATTCAGAAAGTCGAGTGTACACTTGATCGACAATGTTTTGTGTTTGTAATTAGTCTCCCCTGATTAAATTAGCTTTTATTGGTTACAGACTGCTGCAGTAACTGCATTCTTTGTGCTGTGGGTGGAAAACTTCATGTCTAATTTGGCTGCTACTGGCTGACGATAGAACAACCAGGACAAGTGACCTAATTAACATCATTTGTATTTTCTCATTACTGGCCTCTGGAACCTTAACCTTGGTTATAACCTTTACAATAACACTTAAAATCAGTCTTCTCTGGCATCATGCCATGAGGAATGAAGCCATTTTATTCAGCATTTTTGTAACAGGCCTGCACTTGGTAAGATAATACATAGGTAAATATTACTGTAAGTAAAACTGTAAGAGAAAGAGAAAGAAAAAAATAATAGATGAATACAATAAAATAAAATCAGGGAGAAATCCATTAATAAAATGAAATAAGGGAGGTTGTAATGACGCCTTTATAGTTCTATAGACACACATTAACCGTAGAAAGACACTTCTTATGCACATGGACACTCTGTACCCAATGCACTATTGTTTACATGCAAGTTATTCATAACTCCTGCTTTGGACGGAAGTACCAATAAAAATTGTCCAGGATCTTTACAAATACTACATTTCAGAATTGTTCTCAACCCCTTTGCTAATTGCAGATTCTTTGCGATTTCAGAACAGTCCCAAAAATATTGTAAATAAGTTCCATCCACTACTTTACATTTGGTACAAAGAGGAGACCTGCTGGGGTCAATTTTATCTAAAATTTGAGGTGGTTTGGTGTTGTCTGTGTGGGAACAGAAAAATGGAGTGGGAGGCTCGGATACATTCTTCCCAAATTTCCTTTTCATAAACAGTTTGCAGATCCTTCTCCCATCATTCCACCATTTTATCTATATTTTGTTTGTTATAGCTCAGAAAGTTACTGAAAGATAGAGAATACAATATTTATTTTGTGTTGAATGGATAATAGCTTCCTCCATGGGCACCAAAAATGGTCTCATCCTGAGGTAACTAAGGGTGCTTTCAGACCTAGAGTTGTCTTGCTTTGATCCAAATCAAGGTCTAATTTTGTTGCAACTTTGTATAATTACCTAGAGTTGGTTTGTGTTCTCACGGCAGCATTTACAAGCAGACTAGATAAAATGCCTTGTGTGAGAAAGCTGCTCTTGATTGGTCAGAATTTCCATGTGGGAAAAATCCAGGAAGTAAACAAAACGTTGAAGAAGAGTACACTTGCAAGATAAATGTGACACTTTCTAATGTCACAGTGGAGGGACAACTATGCAGGTTGATTTTAGCGCTGCTCATCGTGGACTATATTGCTGTCATTGTTCATTTTAGTCAAACCATACAGTTTGAAAACGAGGCGCGGCTCCAACTAGAAAACAATGTTTTGATGCATTGGATGTGCTGAATGTGCATATTAAGGCAGCACAGGAGGAGGTGCACATTAATAATCCTCCAGGACTGTAACATGCTCATGTTTAACCCAAACAATGTGTCATGTGACTGCAGTTGTTTGGAACACGTTCTCACCACAAACAAACCGCACCAGAGTTCGTTTGTAACCAGACCGAGACCACCTCTTCAAGAAGGTCCTGGTCTGGTTGTTTTGGTGCACACCCAAGTGCCATTGCTGTGTTCACACCTGCCCAAACAAATCACACTTAGGGGGCAAATGAACTTGAGTTCGATTGAACCGAACCAAACGGGGCAGATGTGAAAGCACCCTAAGTACCAGTATTAATAAAATAGCGTAATGAAATCATTTTTAAACATCATCCATCCATAACAACCACTTTGTTCTGCACTTGTTCTTAGTGTAGGTGATTGCTGACAGTTTTCTTCAAGTCACTCATATTTCTGAAAAGTAGCAACACATTTATATGTAACTTCCTCAAGCCTCCGGAAGAAAAGTGATGTTGTATATGTGCTGACTTTGTCATTGGAAGGTGGAGGGGATAGTTAATGGTGTGACACTGAGGCGAGACACCCACACATTTGAAAGGCATGATGCCTGCTAAGCTGCAAACTACTGCTTGAGACCAACAAATGACAGTTTTAGCGAGTCATTGCTGTTTTTCCAGCAGCTATTTAGCCACCACATGTGGGTGTTTTTTAGTGACCAGTTGCCGTTTTCCCACCAGGGATAGTGCAACAAAAAGCAGCTGTTTTTCACCGAGACATCGCTATGTTTCCTGTTGGGTTAGTACCATGAAAACTGTTTGTTTCTTCAAGAGATATTGCTGCTTTCTCAGTGGCAATTGTGCCCTCAAAACCAAACACAGAACCAGTATCTATCATTTGATAGTTTCAGCGTATCCGCTACATTATAACACACAAATGTAATGTATGTGTGGTTTGCCAAAGCATACAGTGCCAACATTTTTCTGGCTATTGAGTTGTACTTCCTACAATGTTAAGTGACGCTCCTCTCAGATCACTGACTCAGTCGTTATGTCTGTGAGTTCATCCACCAAATTTTATGTCCACCATCTCAACATTTTAATCCCATTTAAAAGGCACTGTGCTGGAAATTCATGCAGTGCTGGATCGACTTCAACAGCATTCCCCTTTGACGTCTGCTAAAAAATTGTCTCCAGAGCCTCGTCCATCTTCCAGCCCTTACTGAAGGGATCAAGACATTAATATCAATACATGTCCATACACATTAGTGTTAGCAAAGGCACAAAATCCCCATGTGCAGCACATATACATACTGTACACACTGCTGGAAGTGACATTAAGCAGTGTTTCATTCCAGTATCACAGCATTGAAGATAGAAACTGCCATTATTCTTGCAACAAAGCCCACAGAGTGGCTGAATACGACAAATCTTTATAAGATAGAAGATTATTGACAACATGAAATCTCGGAGAGGAATTGGTCGGCTTGTTTTTCCCCTCCGATCCATTTCACTCGTCGTGTTGTTGAAGCCGAGTTGACATTGCAAGGTCCATTATCCTGCTCCATGTGCAGCTTTCGTCTTTGGGCATTTGAAGCATCACATTTCCCTGTCACAGTTCGGGAGCGGTCCACTCATTAACCGTAATGATGGTGAGTGCTGTGCCCAGCCGACTGGAACCATAGCTGTGATTGGGCGATCGCAGCCTGATGAATGAGTGACAGACAATGATGCGGAGGCAGTAAGGAAGTGTTAGTCTCACGTAGAAGAGCTGCTGCAAAGAGTCAAGGTGGATAGCAAGGTGGATATTTCATTCAACAGGAGATTGTTAGGGTAATAAAATAGTCCATATACCTGTCATGGTATGAAAGTCTTTGTTATATAGTCTATGTGTTTAGAGTGAATTTCAAAGAAATGGTCTTTGTGTAAAATGAGCTCAAAGTGGATGACGTTTTGTCTCTTGAGCATTCAAAGCTTGTCTCTTTAAAGTGTAACAAGGTTGTAGGTTTTGTGTAATGCTTTATCTTAACAGATATGGATAATGAGTCTAAAGCTAATAGACTCTGTCCGTCTCTGAGTCCTCATTTGATATGCGAATGTAATGACTTTGTACAAGCTGCAGTCTGTCAGTCTTATTTCATTACAGACCTGCTATATCAGGCACTGGGATAATGAGTAAGATGCACGGGCCATAATAGGAAGGAGCTGAAATCTCTTCTGTTCACCTTTTTCTTTCTGTCATGTCCACATCTTTAAATTTCCTCAGTTGATGTCTGATTTTTCTCTTTGTATTCCCCCTCCTCTCTGCCTCCCTGCATTGGACAGATCTACCTGCGTTTTCTCGACTATGAGATGGCCAATTCCAACGAATGCAAGCGCAACTTTGTGGCGGTGTATGATGGCGGCAGGTGGGATATTTTGACCTCTCATTTTCATCAGTTATACAGAGGCTCAAAGTGGCCTCATAGTGGTTCTTTAGCTTGTAATCATGACTAAATCATCTCCTTGATATGACAGCTTATAAATGTGCTTTTTTGTGTGTGAAGGCTTTAATATTTAATTATCTCATGACAGGGAATTAAAAGCTTCAAAAAGCTACACTTCATTTGCTCTGTCCATGTCAGGTTAGCCTCACATGACTTACTGGGTAACACACTGAGGACAAAACACCAAGCTGTAGCCCTTTTTAAATAGGAATTGTGCAAATTTGCAGGAAAGCCCAATCAGTCTTTTTTCAGCATTGGCAGTATAAAAACAAAATTGGGGAGTGCAACAAACACAATGTGCCTTTTTTGGGGCAATGTTTGGCGTGAGCAAGTAACAAAACATGTAGCTCAGCATGTGACATAAACAGTGACGTACTCTGAGCTGGTCAGTCCTTCGGCGATTCTCTCATAAGTTGGCTCATCCTTCACTGTCCCCGTCATCTGCCGATTAATGGCCTCGTCGTTGGCGAGGACAAGGAGGGTGTGCAATTCCTTGTCTCCCCAGTTGCTCATCTTTGCAGTGTCTGGCAGGTTAGGCGTTTCCCTCTGGCTACTAGCTGCTCGCTAATTCCTACTATCAGCTGTTTCCTGTTTATCCACCGCCAGTGGGTCACACGTGCAGCGTCATCAACAGCTCCTCCCACAAGTCTTCAACAGACAGAAGGGCGCCTTGTTCTTTTTAAACCAAAAAGGTTCCGCCAATATGTCTACCCCGACGCAACGGAAAATTGGGCACTTCGGATCAATTCGCCAATCCGGCTCTTTGTGTCTAAACGCTCACAGCTTGCCGGCAAAACGGCCCAACATTCGCCGAAAATCTGGCAGCGTGAAAGGGGCTTGTGTCTCAAATTAGCTACATCCCTTAGTACACTCACATGTAGTACACTGCGTACACTATGTACTTACTTGCGAGGTGTGCAAATTTTGACAGGGTAGTGTTGTCTCAAATCAAACAAGTTCCTCACACACTTAGCTGAAATGACAAGATTTGACAACTTTTCTTCCTCTGCTCAGGGAATCACAGCCCAACATCTATAAACATCAGATGCAACGTACACCCATAGATGGTATAGCTTACGCCCCAACACATGTAACATCAGTACCCAGTGCTGGCCTGTGTTATAGGCAGTTAAGGCGGATGCTAAGGGCACCATCCTCCATAGGGGGCGCCACAAATGGGGGAGGAAAAATAATCTATGTTTATCTTTAAGTATTTTTACTAATGCTGTTACTACTATTATTTTTAAATATTACATAAGGCCACAACAGCATAACTACATAGCAAAGCCCACTTTTCTGGACCCCATTTCGTAACACTTTACCTGCTCTCTGAGGATGATTAGCAAGTTAACCGACGTCACATGAACCGAGAAAGACGCAGTATCTTTATCATGTCAAAATGACAAAAGCTCTCTGGTGCCCACCCAACTACCAAAACACTGCTGAGAGGAGTGTTTATCCTTACCTCTAATCAGTCTGTCTACCTCTGCCTCAATCAGTGGAGCCTCCAGGAAGTCGCTGCACCTGGCCAACCCCCTGTAAAACCATGACTTATTGTTTTTGTGCAATTAATTAAACTATAACGTGTTAAATTAGGGAGCTTTATTAAAGATGTGAGGTGGATTTAGTTACCTTCAAAGAGAGAACTTTCCTTCTGTCGCTGGTGTAAATGCTAAGCAAAGCCAACTGTCTGCTGGCAGTGGCTTCACACTGAACAGACAGTTATGAATAAGCTATTGATCTTTTCATCAAACTCTCTGCAAGAAAGCAAGTATTTTCCAGAGTATCAAACTGTTTCTGTAGTAGGAGAGCCAGAAGACAATTTAATGGGCCTCTTGCAAAACCATAACTTATTTTTATCTCCAGATAATGAGTTATTAAAATCACAATCAAAGAAAACAGTATTTGATATTGTGAGATAAGGATATCATTGAATCATTAATGACAAATATGAGCTCCCCCCAAAAAATAAAATGAGTCATCTTAAGATAAGCTGAATAAAAAGTTGTGATCATGTGATAATGGGCCTTTAAAAAAAAGTGCATTATGGGTGATTGAGATTCACACTGAGGTTCGCAGCGAATGTCACTTGATAATAAACTCTGGATATCTTATCTCATCCTGTCTCATCTCAGTTCGGTGGAAGACCTGAAGAGCAAGTTCTGCTCCACGGTGGCCAACGACATCATGCTGGTTTCCACGCTGGGCGTCATCCGCATGTGGGCAGACGAGGCCAGCCGCAGGAGCCGCTTCCGCATCCTCTTCACGACCTACCAAGAGCGTAAGATATCTTCACTTGCACACGTGTGCCGGTCATCATAAAGAGGTTTTACTGCAGCATGACCAACCCACTGAGGGAGAGCGATTAGCTTTATTAATCAGACTGTGACTCCATGACAGTGACGCTGATGTCAAAATAAAGCAGGCCTGGACTTTAGTGGGAGGCATTAAAGGAAGATGGAGGCACAGTGACCACATTTATGGCGAGTTATATCGGATGCTGTTAATAGAAAACGTGCTGTCAGAGGTTTCCATTTAGTTTTATGAGCATTTAAACAGCAGCAAGCAGGAAACCAAGGACTGTGATTTCCATTATATGGAATATTGCCTGTGGGTTATTGTGAATATGACAGTATTGGTGGATTTTAGCTCGGTGCTGCAGCACTACCAATTCTGCTCTCAGTGGATAGATAGAAGAATGGAGAGAGTGAGAGGCTGAGACAAAGGAATATCTGGGTGAGCAACAGTATGTTCTACCCATTTTCTTTCTCCGGGAGAGATTCATATTCACGCACACACTCAGACACACACACACACACAGAGTACACAAACACACCGTCTTCCTCTTTCTCATTCACTGGCTCCTGCTTGATGGAGCCTGCAGTCTGACAGGGGTTGCAGAGGGCATTCTTTGTACTAGTGAGGTGAATGAAGAGGGTCCAAGGCTTGTGAGTATACAGTATGTCAGTGTCATTCAGCGCCTTTTAATGCCCCCTCTACACACACACACACACACACACACACACACACTGCACAGCTGAATATTGCATCTGCGTTCTTGGTACTTGAAGAGGAATGTCTTGCAGCAAACCAGATAAGAAAAAAAATGAACACAATAAAGGGCTGCCCAAAAACTGTATAATATAAAATGATTTAAATACAAAAAAAAAAAAGTGTTCAATTAATTCACTGAGTTTGCAGTCAGGCCCTGTTCCAGAACAAAATGACTTAGGGTGCATCTGAAATTAGTGTAGGCCGGCAACAGCGCTGAATAATAGTGTAGAATATAAAATATAAATAATTTATTTCAATTAACTCTCTGCAACCAAAATTGGCACGGAAAATAATATTTAATGTGGTAGGAGCGGGGAAGTCAGTGAATCAATCTGCATTGATCTATAAATGAATGTGGGTGATTCTTACAGGATCAGTTGTCTACAGCTGCTTCATACTGTATGAAAAGCTCCCTTAGTTCATGAAGTTCCTGCAGTGTCTGAAGACAACAGGACTGATATGTTCATAAATCCACAGCCTCTGAGAAATGCCACACCTGAGCGCAGTGCCATTTCGCAGACCTCTACACACATATGACTGGTCAGTTAAAACTCCATATTCCGCTTTTTGTATAAAGGAGACCATACAGGGTCAACATCAAAATGACGTCAGTTTGTTAGCAGGAGGCCAAACACGACTCTCCACCACAGGGCTGTAGGCTACAAAGGAGTCTTAAAATATCGTCTTGTGTTATTGGGAGCCAGAATAGAAGGAATAATGGCTCAAAACTTAAATTTCATCACATACCAGCCACCACTGCCCATCAACAAAAACTAAGGCCCAATTCCAATCTGATCCCTTACAGACTCACTGACTTAGAGGCGTGTTCATGTGAAGTGCGTGAGTGTGTGAGGGCTGTCCCATTGTCAAATCATCAAATAAATGAGTCAGTGAGTGAGCCCTTTATGCCCCCTTACCATAGGTCAGCATCGATGCAAACTTACAGTAAGGAAATTACCCACAGTTCATAGCGTTGTGACGTCAAATACAGGGGTTGCCCTCGGAACACCGGAAGTGTTATAAAAAAAACCCCGAAAACACGGTCGGCAGATATGCAAACAGTAACGTTATGGAAGGAGAGCGAAAAAACAGATAGATAAACAATGAAACATTACATTAACAACCGTTAAAGTGTCGTCCTCCTGTGTAAGATTGGCACAGTAATCAACCACAAAGCTTCCTGTCAAATGATCCATCCACTGAGTGAGAGCGTACAGGTCGGCCAGTCTGGTCCCGTTGGTCAGTGTTTACCTGTTCAAGTAACACTAGTGGTGTCACTCCCAGATAGTGAGTGACCTGACATGGTGCATTCATAAATTCAGTCTTACGCCCTACATTAAAATGAGAGCCCTGTTGGTTGAAGAAATGGAACGTTATGTTTTTACATGAATTAACGAAGGTGAAGTTAATCACACATTTACTGTGCTCCAAGACTGCTGTGCTCTGTATAACTGAACGGTTCATTCCGACAGCATTACGAATTTACAACTGGTCAATATGATGCCAAAGTGCACTCAGAGTGAGTATTTTCGAACGCACCACTCCCATCATCTTCCTCCATTGTCTAAAACAAGCCAACAGAACTTGCTAGCTAGCGCTGGCTAATGTCTGTGAAGAACTGTTTTGCCTCCATTTAAGCCCCGCCCACCAAAAAACAGTTTTTACTAACAGTGAAAGGGTCTATATCCTTAAAACACATCGCAGTGCAAACACTGCCGTGTAACATTACTAAACTATGTGACCATGTACGAGGTAAGATAAGTTAATTCTGATAAGAAATGTTGTTATTTATATAAGATATTATTTTAAAGCTCTTGTTGTGCCCTTTATGATTCAAGTATCCAGAGGCGCATCAGATCAACATGACATCAGTTATAAAGACATTTACAGAGGCATTTAGAATTTACCCTACTGGTAGATAGATTAAAGTCTAAATTTTTACAATGACACATGAACTTAGGGTATTGTGTGAAGGTTACCCTCTTTTATACTGGTTATTTGTGTAAAATGGAAAAATGGAGGGATGAAAAGGAGTAATAGCACATAACAAGCTCCAATTGTTGGAATGCTATCATGCATTTTCCATCACTAATGACAGAGACCTTTAAAAAATCACATGGTCCCTCCAAATTGGCACAGCCGACCTCCTGACTCATAAACTAATTACTATTATTACTAAAATAGCTTTGGTCCTGTAATATACAAATGATTTCACTAAATCAATCTTTATTTTTTTATTTCTGTGGTTTTTATAGTAACTACCTGGTGGAAAATCAAACTCCATCTGGTTTTGGGTACAGATTTGTGCTGATGCGTGTTCATGTTGTGACGCTCTGAACCATCCAGACATTTCCGGAGGTAAAGCTTTCAGCTGCTGAGCTGTCGTTGTCACAATTAGCTGTGATTGGCACAGCTGTTACAGAGCTCTGAGACCAGTGATGTGACCGACTGAGAGAGATAATCACCACACCTGCTGATCTATATTCACCTTTGGGCCTTTTGCGTGTTGTGCTCCTGCACATACATGAACCAAATTAGAAGGTTCACATGGAGACGCCCACATGGTCTGTGCGCCCAACCTACAGCCTCGCACTTGGCATTTATTATTTAAATTTCAACTGAGGGTGCAATGCATGCTTTTGTACCCCTGTAGAACCAGGCTGGTGTGCAGTTTGTTTGCAGTTTGCTGAAATTTGGTGCTTTTCTCTTCACTTTTAAAATGGCAAAGGCAAACGCCATGCCAGATGCTTCCTTCCAGATAGCTCTGTTAATGCCACAGTGTGTCATATTGGGATTATGCTTATTATTATTATGATTGAAAAGAAGAACTAAGGTATCATGGATAAAGGCATGTGCGTAAAAGTCAGTGTTTATTTAAAATTGAATTCACTTTTCCGTCATGCTGCGTGGTTAATGGATTTATTGAATGTCACAAAGTAACCCACACACTTAAAGAAGCATCAGACCTGAAGGACAATCAGCCGTCCTCCGTTACATATCCACGACATGCCTGCATTGTTTGTCTGCATTCACTGTGGTGCTAAGATAGTGACTAGCTCCCACAGAACAGGCGACAGCAATAACAGCGGAGTTGTTTGTGTTGTGAAGTCAGTGTCCCCTTTTGTAAGGCCTTTTCACCAAGCAGTGCCAGGATGTCCTGTTGCCGGGGCAACGCTTCTGCCTAAGTCACTCAGGCGATCCCCAGCCAGACCTCAGCTTTTAGAGCAGCATCCACCACAGCTCAGCAGCACTTCACCAACTCCATCAACACAGTGAATGAACAGGTGTACCAGAGAAGTGGGAAACACAAGCAGTACAACAAGTAATACAGTGTAGTGTTGCTGCCGGAACTTACTGCTAGTGCAGAGCAACTTATTTTCTTAAAGCAAAACACACCATAGTACATTAGTAAGAGTCAAGTAAGGCAGCTTATTTCAATATGCATCGTCATCATGACAGAGTAAGACTGTGTTCAAGATGTAATGACGTAAATCTCATATTCATGGCTTTGACTGTTGAATTGTTTGCACTCTTTTACTTATATGCATGAAACACATATATTTTACTATGACGAAAACTCTGTCTGTCTGTCTGTGTGTGTGTCTGTGTGTGTGTCTGTTCCACGTTTTTCTCCTCACTGACTTGGTCAATCCATGTGAAATTTGGCACAGTGGTAGAGGGTCATGGGAGGATGCAAATGAAGCAATATTACATCAATTGGCCAAAGGGGGGCGCTATAGCAACCGATTGAAATTGCAAACTTTGAATGGGCATATCTCATGCCCAGTATGTCGTAGAGACATGAAACTTTGCACAGAGATGCCTCTCCTCATGAGGAACAAATTTACCTCATAACTTCCGGTTATATACATTTTCCACCATTTTGATTTTTTTGAAAGACACTTAAAATCGATCTCTTCCTAGGAAACTTGACCGATCTGCATGAAGCTCTGTGAACATAATCTAGGGACCAATATCTAAAGTTCCCTCTTGGCAAAAGTTGGAAAACTTACTAAAACTGAGCTTCTATAAGGCAATGAATATTGCGGAGGGCGTGGCTCATCACATAAAGGTGTATAACATATCAAGGGTTTCACCTTTGTAGACATCCCATGTAGCAACTTTGTAGGCATATGACCACACATGATCTGAGGGGACCCCTTCATTATTGACCCCATCAAACAAAATGGGGGTACTAGAGAGCTAATTTCTTATCTAGGCCTAACC